TTTTTTTTTTTTTTTGAAGTGGTACTGTTTAGCAGAAAATGAATACTTTCAGTGGAGAAAATATTGAGGTGAATAGTCTGAAAAAAAAAGTATTCCTTTGGAAGTGCAAAAGAATAATAATAATTGTTTAACTATAAGCTGAAAAAAAAAATTAAATGCAAACAATTTTGTTTTTTGCGCTTAAATTTTATAATTTTTTCTTCAAATTTTTTTTCATTTTTCACCTTTTAATTTTCAAACGTTTTCCAAATCAGAAAGATTTCTTTTTCTTTGTTTTTACTACTGCTTCAATCAAAATCTGTAGTGTTCTACAAGTTTGGAGTTATATGTTTTGTTTACATTTTGCATTCAATCAACTCAAAGATCATTTTCTGGTCAATCCAATTGTACTGAATTTTCAACTAAGAGATGGGAGAGAAGGAAAATTGAGAGTTTTCATTACTGTTATTGGTGTTGAAACGTTTCTGATCACAAAATTATCGTTACAGTTTGTTTGTTTTTTCTTGGTTAAAGATTTAGTTTGTGGCTGCAAAAAATCACTTTTCCTTTCATTTAGTGGCCAAAAAAATTTTTTTGGCTCAGTGAAATTTTTTTTATCACTTAAACGAAAAGGCTATAAAAGAATAGGAATGCTGAAGTTGTGAATGAGGGGAATGAAAAGAGAGGCGAAGAAGAATGGTGAATAAAAGTGAAGAAAAAAAAAAAAGAAAGAGCGGCAGCAACAGCAGCAGAAGAAGAAGAAGAAGAAGAAGAAGAAGAAGAAGAAGAATACGAAGAAGAATAAGAAGAAGAAAAAGAAGAAGAAAAAGAAGGAAAAGATTAGAAATTGAGAGGAAAATCAGACGAATAAAGATATGAACCATGAAACTGTTGTTGAAGAATTTTTGGGTCTTTCAACAACTGTGTTAGCCATGAAAAATTTTTTTCAGCTTTATTTTATTAGTTATCTGAATACAAAGTCATTGATGGTTATATTGAATAGTCAGCAAAACTGTCGAAATGATTACCACCACCACCACCACCACCACCACCACCACAATCATTTTATTTATTTCTTCATTTATTTTCCTAGTCCAGTTAGCTTTTTTTTTTTTTTTTTT